ATGCAAAGAGAGGAGAAAACCACAGCAGCCTGATCTGCTCTGCTTCATTGCTGGTTCCTTTATAACAATTTGCCTGAAACAGACCCAAGATGGAGCTAACCCCTAGACATACACAGAAAATAGCAAATGACTATTATGTATCTGACATTTGAAATAACATGTTTCTGGAGGGTTGGCATTACAAGAGTCATTTCACTTCAAAATGTTATTCCTAATGTAATTTTTTAAAATTCATAAGAGGTACTTGCTAGAATTCAGCATAGCACTAAAGTCACTCAAAAGACAGAGGTCAAATTCATTTCATTTCTTTTATGTTTTCTTCTCTCTGCTAGATGAAATAAATGATTAAGCCTAGAACACTTGGCAGTTCAGCGAATGTGCTCCGTGGCACCATTACAAGATCGATTTTCTCAATACAGGAGTCTTTCTAGGGTGCACATTGCTTAGCTGACATCTGTCGCCGTTGTCATGGCAGCGCTCTCTGCAGCATAGTGAGAGGTCAGGCCTGACAGGCAAGGCCTCGCCAGCTCTACCCCAGTCACTTCAAGGTTAACAGCCAATGGACCAAAGAAATAGGCAATTATAGTACAGTCAATTCCGGTTAAGGAAATATCTGAGAAGTAAATATGTCTGATAAGTGAATGGAAATGAAACAGCCAATGCTATTGATGCAATCCCATAATATCAATATCATTTTGTGGTGGCGTTTGGTTGTTCCTTGTAAAATTCCCACATTCAAAGAAATCTCAGAGAGGAGATAAACAAAACTCATCACACAGCTCTCCTTGAATAACAGAATTCTCACAGACAAACAGATGAGCAGTGGAAAAGAAAAGCTTCTTCAAGGAAAAAGTACAAAGAAGCTTCCTTGGGACTCCATCCCCTGTTGGATATTCCAGCGTATCCAGCCTAAAGGAGATTCCTGGCATTTTAAAGGAAGTTGACTTTAAAGGAATATTTTTCATTGCTCCCTCAACTTATTAAATGTATTAGTTATCAGGACAAAAGTCTTTCCTACACTTTCAACAACCCTGGAAAAGAGAGAGTTTCAAGCTATCAACATATTGGGATTAACAATTTCCAACAACATACACTTCAAATAAAGCCTAACTTTTGATAGACAGGGAAGATATGATTTTAACAGACAGTCTTTGAATAAAATTAGAAAAATGACAAGTGGAACTAAAATATAAAGATTTTCAATTACAAGTTGCATACCCCAGGAATTCAGTGACTGTCAACCTCCATAGGTTGTAATACTTGAAATTCATTAGTTTATATGTTCATATTAGCTACTCCTGATTAAATAGTACAGTTGGTATAAAAAGATCTTTAGATTTTCATCAGATACCCAAAAGAACATTCCTTCCACCAAAAGAAGGCATTCCTTCCACTGTAAGATTTTATTATTCACAAAAAAGCGTGGGAAATTAAGGATATATATATGGACAAACACACACACAGTCACCATGGTTATTCATCTCAGATTCTATCGAAATGTTTTTAGCTATGATCAGTACATTCTACACTGGAATATTTGGTCCATCCTTGGGCACATCAAGAGGTAGAATTTTTTCAAACAGTGGTCATGTCACACTTGCCAACTTGTGTTCTCACTAATAAACTGAGGTCATGTTTATCTGCCTCTTGCTTCATGAGTGGAAAGCTGATTTGGTACCTAAACCAGTGAACTGCTGTTGCCTTCAGTGTCATGGTCTCTTGACTTCATTTGAAAATTCAGCATTGCTTGGGGCCCTCCCTGGTGGCTTAGCAGGTAAAGGCGCAGCACCATGAAGCTCACTGCAGCTGCTTCACAGCAAGTACAACCCCCAGACAGGGAGCTGACCCACATGGCACAGCAGACCTCTCCTGACCCGCCTGCTGCTCCCCTCAGCAGTCTGCCTGTTCTGCTCCCGACATTGTCTCTGGTGAATCCTCTCACTGCCCCTGCATCTCTGGCCTGTACCTCATTTCTGTATGCATAAGTAAACGAATCTTTTTAAAAAAGAAAGAAAATTTAACATTGTTTTAAAGGAGTGATGTGTGGATGCAACAAAGACTAACCCACTTAAATTAGCTTAAGTGCCCAGGGTTTTATTGGCAAGATACAACAGGCCATCCTGAAAAGCACAGGAAACAAATTACATGCAGGTCAAATAAGAACTAGAAGTGGCATTGGAAAGCCAGGAGCTAGGTTTATTCTCTCTACCTGCATTTCATCTCTGCCATGCTTTTCTTTCTCTTTCTGTACCTGTCTTTCAAACATATTCCTCTGCTTTTGACACAGCTACACATGGGATGACCTTTCAGTTCTCACAACAGTCTATCTTACTGATTTTGATTCTACATTCCCTTAAGAGAGAGTCTGACCAGCTGAGCATGGGCAACAGATTAGTTTTCCCATAGTCATATACACTGTTGGACTCAACCAATTTGGGGAGTAATTAGCAGGGTTATTCCATTTAAAATGAGTCCTGTGTTCACCCCCTCAGCAAGAGCAAGGTACACACTCAAAACTTGTCCACTATGCCTTCTGCAAGATCAAAGATGACACATAAATTGAAAATGCCCCCTACACCCAAAAAAGTCAGCAATGAGCAAGCATTCTAAACAACAAGACTGCTGCAATGGTTAGTCAACAATATAACAATGCATTTGGGTTAACTGATGCATTGTCAGAGTCATCCCCAAAGGCATAAAATGATAGCACCTTAAAAAAAAAATGCCGTTGGCTCTCCCTGGTGGCTCAGCGGGTTAAAGCACAGCACTAAGAAGCTTAAGCCACTTTCACATGAGTTCCATTACCTCCTGCCCCGGAGGTGACCACATGGTGAGGCAGACCTCTCCTGACCCACCCACTGCTCCCTTCAGCAGTGTACTTTGAAGATCTGCCTGTTCTGCTCCCCACTCTGTCTCTGGTGAATCTTCTCACAGCCCCTGCACCTCTTGCCTGTATCCCAGTTCTGTATGCACAAATAAAAAAAAATCTTAAAAAAAAGTCCAAATTCCTTACTTAATACAGAAAACACACCCTTAAGCTTTGGTCTGCGCAAAGAACTTTGCGAGCTCAGTGTCCTATGTCCCGCCGGAGCCAGCGTCTGCCCTGCACTTCAGCTAACCTGAACTGTCCTTTGCTAAGTCCCAGCCTTTCCTTCTCTCTGGACTCCCTCTGGACAGTTTCCATTCCATCTTCTCCCTGGGTCACACTATAATTAAATATAACTAACACATAGAGGCTCTCAAAGAATAACCAAGAAATAATGAATGGCCCCTGGAAGGGGATATTTTCTCAAGCAGATAGTTTAAGTGGACACTTGATGTCATTTGTTAAGAGAAAGCACACAGGGCCTGCCCTTGAGAGCCAGCTCAGATGCCAGCTCTCTCATAAAACCTTCCCTTGACTATCCCAATGAAAAATCAATAATCCCTCCTCAGTGCAAGCATTTATTGTCTCTATCACTGTTTTCCAAATATAAGAACTTGTAGGTCCTTGAAATTACATGCCCACAGACCTCAGCATGAGAAACAACATGTTAAAAAATTAAATGGTATCAGTACAGGGGCCATTTGAGTCATGTTGAGTCACAGACTGGGAAGAGAGCTGAAATTATAAGGCAATACTGTTATTAGATTGATCTCCAAATGATCCAGAATATTCTTCTACTAATATTTACATGATCATTAAAATAAAAATATAGGCCTTCCCTGGTGGCGCAGTGGGTTAAAGCACAGCACTAAGAAGTCAAAGCCACTTCCGCATGAGTTCTATCCCCGCCTGCCCCGGAGGTGACCACATGGCGTGGCAGACCTCTCCTGACCCGCCCGCTGCTCCCTTCAGCAGTGTACTTCGTCGATCTGCCTGTTCTGCTCCCCACTCTGTCTCCGGTGAATCCTCTCACCCTCCGCATCTCTGGCCTGTACCCCAGTTCTGTCTGAATAAATAAATCTTTAAATATATATATATATAAATCAACAGTACCATCGTTAAATCTCAGCTTTAAAAATTGTTCAGGACCTATGTAGTCTGAAACACCCCTAAAAACTCTCCTTCCAAATTACATGGCGTGAACCAGATACAACCTACACCATTTGATTCAACTATGCAGCTCTAAAAAAGTAAATAAATAACTAAAAACAATCATGTAGACTGCCATATTCTAGTCCTTCTATTTACATCTGGTCAAAGCCATAAATTCCAGGCTTGTTTTGTATGATAGCTTTCAAACCTGTTCTCCTATAAACCTAGTCAAAATGCTGGTCCTGGTCTTTTACAGACACTGGAATTCTAGACACAACATCTGAACAGAAACACCTATCATTTGCTAAAATAGGAGTAAGATAGCTGATTTATATCTTCAAAAGTTGTTAAAAAAAATGCACCATAGAGTATTTACTTTAGAGAATTTTATGGTCCAAACTGAGAACTACTATGGCAGAAATAAAGGGGACCTTTTGTATACTTTTAACTTGTTTTCTTAGTTGTTTTTTTTTTTTCAGGTTTGGGTTGTGGCTATTTTTTTTTTTTAATCCTTTATCCAAGATATAAGAGGCAAAGAACTGTTCAAGACATCTAAGAATACATGTATCACAAAGTCTATTGAAGGAAACATGTAATTAGTAACATGGAATAAGTTCTACAAATGAGGTATATGTTAAAGAATATAAAAAAATAACAAAATTATTAACACTCACTGGAGCATTTCAGGAAAAACTCATAGAAAATAATTTTTTTGGTATTATATTGATTAAATATTCTTCATAACCAATCACTCCCAGATATAGCAGCCTAAAACAAGTATTCTGTTTGTCTCACAGTTTTCTGAGTCATAATTGTCAAGGTTTCTCATGAGCTTGTGATCAACATCACTCACAGAGCTTTTAGCAGGAGACCTCAGTTCCTCTCAGTGAGCTTCTCTATGGGGCCAATCGAACATTCTCCTGTAATGTCAGCTGGTTTACCCAGGAATGAGTGAAACTGAAGTGAGAGCAACAGTCCCAGCAGCAACAGTCTCAGCTTCCCAGAAACTCAGTCCCCTACAGAAGCTAAGCAGCATGGACCCGGTCATGCTGGAGCGCCTCATGAGTTTGGACCGTCTGTTAGGCTCCCACGGGAATCAGGGAACCCCTCTGCTGAACACCCCCAAGCGTGAATGGATGGTACTCATGAAGACAATGGAGGAGAAAGATTTGGAGATTCAGAGGCTTAAGATGAAGCAAAAAGAACTGGAAGCCAAGGTGCTGGCCCAGGAGGCTGCGGACCCAAAGGGAAAAGAGAATTGCTCCCCCACAAAGCTCCAGCCCCTTGCCCGCCGCACAGTCACAGTGGCTAAACCTCTCAAAAAGGCTGTAGTGATGCCCCTACAACTGATTCAGGAGCAGGCACCATCCCCAAATGCGGAGATCCACATCCTGAAGAAGAGAGGCCGAAAGAGAAAGCTGGAATCCCTGGATGCCTCAGAGTCAGAAGAGAAGACTGAGGATTGCTGGGAGTTGCAGATTAGCCCGGAACTACTGGCCCACGGGCGTAAAAAGATATTAGATCTGCTGAACGAAGGCACAGCCCGGGATCTGCGCAGCCTGCAGCACATTGGCCAGAAGAAGGCCCAGCTCATCGTGGGCTGGAGGGAGCTTCACGGCCCTTTCAGCCAGGTGGAGGATCTGGAACGCGTGGAAGGCATATCCGGGAAACAGATGGAGTCGTTCCTGAAGGCGAACATCCTGGGTCTAGCTGCCGGCCAGCGCTGCGGCCCATCCTGACTGACGGCACCGTCTTACTCTGCCTTAAGAAAAATATTTTTTCTTTTAAATCTTTGTATAACCGCGTGTTGTAAATATAGACTTATAACTCCGGAAAAAAAAAAAAAGTCAGAAACAGAGAGAGACAGACAGAGAGAAAGAGACAGAGAGAGAGACAGAAAGACTGAGATCCAAATCTCAAAAACACACATCATCACTTCCTATATATTCTTCCATTTGAAGTTACTAAGCACTGCCCACATTTAAAGGAAAGGCAATTAGGCTTGTATTTTGAAAGAAGAAGCATCCAGAAACTCATCGTTGCACTGTTAAGTCATGAGTAGTGGAGAATGAACAGGAGCGCTCTACAAAGAGGCTGAGAGGGTACCGTGGACAGGAGGTACAATACGCCCAGGTATGGGAGATCAGGCCTTCTAGAAAGAGCAGGGAGTTCATTGGAGGTGCTCAAACTTACCTCAGCCTTTCAATTGGACAAAATATTACAAAGAAGTCCCAAGATGTAAACAGTAAAACTAGCTCTATCATGGTTGAATAGGTAACAGAGGGAGACAGGGAATTTCCCTGCAAAGCAGCCTGTATTCAAACTCCTAAAGGCCCCAGAATTTCAGAGTTGTTTGGAAACCATACCATATACAATTGCTGCTAGTGCTGGATCTACAGGTACCAGGCAATAATCTTTGAATTATCAGATAACTAATTGTGTTCTATCGTGAGGTATAACCAAACCAAAATATATACAAAATTCTAATTAAAAAGAAAGTAATGATCTGTTGCAATGCAAACAACCCACTCTTTAATAGTAGGTTGTAGTCCAAGAGTTCACTTACAAAGGGTTCTTAATAACTCAGTGTATCAACTATTGCCACAAAGATGCCGTGTAACCAACCATCCCAAAGCTCAGTGACCTGAAACAACTATGATCTAGTCTCACATACCTACAGGTTGGTTGTTTTATAGATCAGCTAACTGGAGCTGGCACTTGCCTCTGTGGCTCTGTTTCAAGTTGTTAAAGGGGTAGCAGTTACCCATGGGAAGTTCATTTGTTAGAGAAAGCAGAAATGCAAAAGGCAAGCAGAATATGCTCTCATCCACATGTGGTCAGCCTAAACAAATTCATAGACAAGTGTAAAGGCAAAGGCTAGGGAAATACACTGAGACCACATACACCTAAAACAAGAGGGTGAAAAAAACGGTCTCTCAATTAGCACATTCTGAATGCATTTTTCCATAAAAGCAGAAACTTGTATTGTAGTTACCAGATTCACTCAGCAAAATCAATTTAATTTCTTTTAGAAATAATAGCTGGTCTAGGGTGCAGCCCCATTTTTAAATAAGCCAAGTTTATAGGGTGCAGCTCTATAGGGTGCAGCCCCATTTTTAAATAAGCCAAGTTTATCTTCCAAGCCCTCTTTCTTCACCCCTTTCCCAATAATTTCACATGGGGACCTCCCTGGTGGCATAGGGGTTAAGTCTCAGGGTTATCCCAACCATGGCCTAAGTTCAATCCCCAGTCAGGGAGCTGACACATGGCACAGCAGACCTCTCTTGTCTTGCCTGCTGCTCCCCTAAGCAGTGTACTTCATCAATCTGCCTGTTCTGTTCCCCAATCTGTCCCTGGTGAATCTTCTTGTCTTCCTGAACCACCCCCCCCCCTGGCACCTATACCCCTATTCCATTGCCTATATCCCAATTCTGGTATGCATAAATAAATACATCTTTAGATTTATTTCCCCACATGCTCTGCCTCTTCATGGCTTCCGTAAACCCCTAAGCTCTATGCCTTATTCTTCACTCACTTCCTTCCTAATTATTTTTTTTAACTTTTTTTAAAGATGTATTTATTTATGCATACAGAACAGGAGTACAAACCAGAGGTACAGGGGCTGTGAGAGGATTCACTAGAGACAGAGTGGGGAGCAGAACAGGCAGCACTATTATTTCTAAAAGAAATTAAATTGATTTTGCTGAGCTAATCTGGTCTGCTGCACCATGTGGGTTACCTCCAGGGCCAGGGATTGAGCCCGCACTGAAGCAGCTGTGGCTAGCTTGCAGCGCTGCATCCCAACCTGTTGTGCCTCCAGGGAGGGCCTCCTTCCTAATTATTTTAACCCCAAAATTCAGATCCTTCAATGTCAATCCTTCCAATGACTGACAAAATGAAAACCACCTGATTAAGACAATTCACATTCACATATGAAAGACACAGTCCTTCTTACACTCCCTCCCTTTGAAAGGGCCTGTCCCATAGTCCACATATGCTCCCAATGGTGAGATTCAAGTCAACAATACATTGATAAAGGTCAAAGAGTCTGGGGATCTTTTCAGAAAAGAGAAATATGTCTTAGATAAATCTGCTACCTATTTTTTTTTTCAGATACTCTTATTTTGTAAAAAGGGTGTCATTAAAACATGTGGAGCAAGTTGTATTCACTTTATTAGTCTCAACTCCAATATTTTTCCTCTCTATGCAGCTGCAGGGAATTGAACACACCAGAAGATAGATGCTGTTGTTATGATTTACATCTCATTATAGGACCAGTGTTTTTTTTTCCCACTTTGGAATTTACTCTGTAGGCCAAATCTTTCAAGATTTTTTTTTTCTTTCAACATTAAAAATGACATATTTCAGCATGAAATATGCCTAGTTTGATTCAGGAAGAGCTTAATGATTTTGCCCTTGCACCGGGTTTTCATACGAACATCCCTATTTTAAACAAACAAATAAGGAAAGAAATTATCTTGCGAATACTGCTATTAATCATCTTTGAAAATGTGTTTACTTTTAAAGACTGATCATAAAGATTTCAAATATTAAATTTTGGTAATAGCACTTTACTACACTATTCAAATGTCTAGGTATAAATGAAGGAAAGTGGGAAGTTGAGGGTTGAAGTTCCCATGTAACTGACTAGTCTGAAAATTTGAACCAAAAAATACAGCTTTATTGATCCTGAAGTATGAATTTATGTATGGTTCTTCATTTCTGCTGATGTTTTCATGACAAAAAAAATAGCAATGCCTATATATGTCTGATGACAGCATTCTTATGTCATATTTTAGCCATTTTGTGCAGCCCTTGAGTCATCAATATCCTCTCCCATCACTGTGCCACACAAACCATAGTGCTGTCATCAAGCTATCACTAGAAATAATTATTTCTTCTACTCCAGTTAATAGCAAGCAACCACAGCACTAACTTTGGGTAGGTTATGTAAGCTGGGATGTGTTTTGATTTAAGAATTCCTGCTCACTATTTTTTCCCATCTTAGCCAAGATGACTATATATACTTGATGCTGAGCAAGAAAGAGTATTTTTCTCTTGCTTCTTAGCAATTAAATTCTAATGAGGCTTAACTATATCAAAACTTGCAGTAAGAACTATGAAAAGGAGGCATGTAGTAAGTATATTGGAATGGTTTTACCCCTTCCATGGCACAGTAGCTAACCACTCATCAGGCATGGAGTTGCCATTATTAATAACACATTTAGAGTGAACTCATAGGTTAATATTTAAAATGAGACAAGGGGTTCAGAGCAATGGTTCAAATTCCAGATCCAGGGAGCCTCCCTGGTGGTGCAGGGGTTGTTTCAACACTATCAAGCTATCGCCAGCTACCAGCCAGGGAGTGACCCACTGGCATAGCAGACCTCTCCTGTCTCGCCCGCTGCTCCCCTCAGCAGTGTTTTTCAGTCAATTTGCTTGTCTGTTCTCCACTCAGCCTCTGGTGAATCCTCTCACCCCCACCTACACCCCCCACCCACGTATCTCTGTCCTACACCCCAGTTCTAAGATGCATAAATAAATAAAAATAAATCTTCAAAACAAAACAAATTTCAGATCCTGTATTTACCAGCCATAACCTGGGCAAGTTAATTAACTTCTCTGTATCTCAGCATCTATACTTACAGGTGAACAACAGCACATATCCCTCGGAATACTTGTAAAGTTTGAATGATAGTACCTGACTCACAGTAAGCACTACGTCAGGATTTGTTGTGCTCATCAGCTTCACCACGGACATGACTATCTATAGATTCCTGTTAGATAGCCAGTCTTTCTGCTTGTACTAGATATTTGAGAGCAACTCTGTCCACACACAGCCCATTAGAATCCTTGAGTTCCTCTTAAGCATTGCTGTTAAAACTGTAGCTTAGACAACCACTAAATAGAATCTAATAAAGTTGAAGATGCTCATGCCCTATAAGCTAGTGATGCTTGTCTCAGGAAATGGAGAAGCTTAGACCTGAGCACTGAGACTAGATTGGATTAGAATATTCATGGCAATGAGGTTTGTAATAACAAAAAAATGGAAACATACAGATTGTCATCAACAAGAGAATGGCTAAATAAGCCTTAGAGTATTCATGCAATAGAATAACAAGCAGTAGTGAATATGAATCAAGTGTGTTACTTGTATCCACTTGAATAAACCTCACAAAATACAATATTGAATAAAAAAGCACTTCACAGAACATGTCAGTATGATTCACTTACACAGAGTTCCAACACATTGAAAGCTTGTCTTTAAAAAGCAGAAGAATGGTAGGTACAAAATTATGAGCGTGGTTAACTCCAGAGGTAAGAAGCACGCCCCTGGAGTCTCAGCGGTAACGATAATGCATTTCTTAATTTGGCTGGGTCAATACATGGACATCCATTTTATTGCAAAGTTTTGTAATGCATATATATTACGAATTTGCAAGTATTTTTTAACATTATATTCAAAAGTTCTTCAATGAGAAAAATAAATGAAACGACGACTTTGCATCGAGTCCCAGGGGCCACCCAGGCCCCCATTCTCTTCCACGTGCCAGGCTGCAGGTCTTTCTCTTCAGGGATGAGCAGTAGGGTCTGGCTGGAGGACACTACAGGTCTAAGGACATTTTGTTTGTTTGTTTCTTTGTTTAAGATTTTATTTATTTATGCATACAAAACTGGATGTAGGGACGGTGAGCGGATTCGCCAGAGACAGAGTAGAAAGCAGAACAGACAGATCAACGAAGTACACCGCTGAGGAGAGCAGCCAGAGAGACATGAGAGGTCTGCCACGCCATGTGCTCACCTCCAGAGCTGGCTGAAGATCGA